CGATCTCGTGGTACGGCCCTATCCCGTCCACGACCAGCTCGACACCAGGGTTGGCGACCTGAATCTGCTCGACCGCATTCTTGAACCCGACCTCAACGGCTTCCAGACAATCGCTCTCCAACACCCGGATACGGGCGATCAAGTCAGCACGGGTGATTAAACGCCGATCCCCCTCAGTCTCGTCCTCGGCCGGACGAACAGCGCTGTCCAGAGCCTCAGTACGAACCTTCAGCGCCTGCACCTCGGCCGTCGCCGTCCCCAGCTTCTCTTCCAGCGAACTCACCTTCCCCTCAGCACCCTCTGCTCGTTTCCGCTCCTCAGCAACGTCCTTCTGGCTCTTCTCCAACTCCTCGGTGAGCTTGGCCAACCGCGACTGCGTAAAGGTGAGATCCCCTTGCAGTTTGGACAGCTCAGCAGCAGAGCAGCCCTCCTCGTTCAGCACGAGAGCCGTCGTAAACGTCCGCATCATCGCGGCCAAGTCCTCAGCCAGGACACGCCGACGGGCCTCCCGATCAGCCTGGCGAACAGCCTTCGCCTCCCCGGCGGAAACGGTGGGGGAACGGGCACCATGAAAATACCCCGGGTGCTGGTGGCAGGGAGGGACGACATAACCTTCCTCGACGGCGCCGACCGTCAGATCCACCACCCGAGGCTCCTCGGACCTCTGCCTCTTCGACACTCCTTGGGACACAGGGGATTGGCTCTCTTGAGGCGACGAGGACGAAGTTTGGCCCCCCTGCGTCGCGACCTCCTGACTGACCAGCTGACTCACCCTCGTCCTCGGGACCCCGGCACTCCTGGCAGCACGCAACTGCTTCACCCGCTCGTCGACAGTAGACATGTTCGCTGCAAAAACAAAGAAATAGGTTAGCGACGATCAAAAACCCCGACAACGAGGGAAAACGAAACATCCCTACCTAGATAATCTAGAGCGGCCGCCCCGGTCGCACAGCCGAGCAAAGTCTTAGTATTTATCAAACGCTTTTTAGTGCGTACGTTCCCCTGGGCATCGAGGATGTACCGACCGTCGGGCGTCACCAGCTTCGACGGGGGAAGTGACCGCACAAAGGCAATTATTTTCAGATAAGCGGCCATGTCCTTCTCCTCGAGGGTTCCCGCCCGGACGATATACCTATCCGTCCCTCGACTGAAATGCTCCGAGGTCCACAGCAGATGTATCTTGGGAAGCCACGCTCGGAACCACTGGCCATCTACCGTGCGCTCGCCCTCGTCAAAGAGAGTGTCCGAGCCGTGCTGCGTGATCGGCTTGACGAGGTAGAACCGACCCTTGAAGTCTTTGACAGAATCACTGTACGCTTTAAAAATTTTGGTCGATTGTTTGAAAGAGACCCATCCGTGACGACCTCGCACCGTCTGCCGCTGCAAATGAAAGATGCGAAAGAACAACGGCACCGTCGGCTCCACCGAGAGGTAGAAACACACCACCTCGAAAGCCCGGATGAAAGCCAGAGCGTTCGGGTGCAGCTGAGACGGGGCAAGACGCAGCCAGTCAAATATCCCCAGATGGAAGGCAGAGAACGGCAACCGGAGCCGAGCTTCTTTAAAATAAAATTCATACATCGGGAACATCTTCCGCCCATAGCGCGAACAGATCCGATGGTGCGCTTTCGGGCGATACACCTGCCAGTGTTGCGTTTCTCCTAGCGGCGTGTCCTCGACCGTGGCATACACGTCGGACGGGTCGACCACAAAACAAGAAGGGATGGTAAGTGGCTCCTCGGCCGCCCACTCCTCGGGCAAGGAGACGGCCCGTCGTCATACTCCGGGACCTCGGGTTCATCATCTTCAACCATTATCCCCGGCACCAGAGCCGACATCTACACCTGAAAGCAGAGGACCTCGGTGAATTCGATAGCCAGGATCAAATCCACCCTTCCACCGCAAGTCAAGTGAAAGGGCGACAAAGGCCGAGGGGCGGCGGGCAGACATTCGCTCCCCGCCTACCCTCCTCGGGGATCGAAGAACGACCCCTCAGCCCTTCGGGGCGGCCGTCGGAGAAGATACTTCTCCCCGGGGCAGTCATCAGAGAAAGCCCCCGTCCTCGGGGCATTCATCGAAGAAAAACCCCCGTCCTCGGGGCATTCATCAGAAAAAGCCCCCGTCCTCGAGGCATTCATCGGAGAAAAGCCCCCGTCCTCGGGGCATTCATCAGAAAAAGCTCCTGTCCCCGGGGCATGCATCGGAACTAGCCTACCGTCCCCGGGGCATTCATCGGAAAACTCGCCAGACGCGGCGGAACTCGCATCCCTCCTCGGGGCGCTCATCGCGCCCCGACCACACGTCCCAGTTAGACGACGAAAATAAAAGAGAGGGAGAAGAGGAACTTACTTGTAACGGCGGCGGACGGGAGAAAAAGCGAATGGCACGGCGTTGATCGGCGGCGAACGGCGGACGGGCAGAGACGATGAAAGATCAACAGGGAGAAAAGTAGCAGAATGAGCGGGGACCGCCATATTTATAACCCGGCGCGAGGCTCGAAGCGACCCTAGGCTCATTAATGACATAGGTTAGCCGCCCCTACGACCGCTCAACGCAAGACACGTGGAAGCAGCCTGACAGTCGCGTCTCTCCATCTGCCTCCTCCCCGTTCTACCGACGACCGGAGCCCTTCGCACGAGTCCCCCGCTCCAGACGTGACGACCTTAAGTCCTCGCTCTTCCCCAGAGCTTCGACTTGGGGGGCTCCTGTTCCGGTGTGGGCCTCACCTCGGCAGGCCCAATACCAAATACGGCCCAACAGGCGAACTGAGCACACCTGGCACACGCCCCTTCGGACGAGCAGGACCGTCCGCCGGGCACAAGCCATCACGCCGCTTCCCCTTCGTCGTCCGTCACACCAGACGAGCGAGACTACCCGGGCTCCCTCCGCGGGAGAATAACGTGCTCGGCGCACGTTCTCCACGTGCTCCCCTCCGCGGGGACACGTCATCGGCCAACCGCCCACCTCCGAAAGAGCAGGTCAAACCCACTTTCCGGAGACCTAGGAGCGGTTGAACTAGGGCGAAGACCACGTCCTGGTCTTCACTACGCCACGTAAGCCCTAGCAGTCATTAGGGTTGGGCCTGGTCGTCTGGCCCACCTCGAATGACCGTTGGCCCAGCGCTGGGGTCTCTCTATAAATACCCTCTTCTTCAAGAGGGTCAGGTAACTCTTCTTGCCCCCCTTTTCTGTACTATTGCTTCCTCTCTGTCCAACTTCTTACTTGGGCGTCGGAGTGCTTTGCAGGTACACCCCCTCCTCATTCTTACCTCGGCGAACAGATAACCGTCCGGCGAAGCGTGGCCAGTCCGTGATCCCTCCTGATCAGGTCAGATCAATATATATATATATATATATATATATATATATATATATATATATATATATATATATATATATATATATATATATATATATATATATATATATATATATATATATATATATATATATATATATATAGAAAAAGTTTAATTTAATTATGAATATTATAAATAGGTGATTTCTATGATGATGGTTTAATTAAATCCCTTACCTAAGTACCACTTAAATTGACTGTTGGATTAAAGAGACATACATGATCTAAATATTTCTTATTGCACTAAATTTACTTTTATCATCTCTCCCTCAACAGATATTTCTCTCCCCCACTGCTTGCATTCTTCCTGACCTTTCTCCACTGTCTGCAAATAATTACCCATTAATTGATCTTTTTCTACCATGAAAAGTATAAAATATAGTATATGTGTAAATTTGAGATTGGAAAGAATGAAATTGATTTTCAAAGGAAAAACATTAAGATCTGAATGCCTCTTCTTCGCCATCTTCATCTCACGGGTAGAAACAAAATTGAATTATCATTTCATAGGTTGCGTTTCAATTTCATATGCTATTATCTAAAAGAGCACAAAATCATTTCACCATATAAACACTTGTGAATAAAATTCAAGTTGAGAATGAAAAACAATACAGTTGTAAAGTTTGATTAAATACCCATATTATTATTAGTGTATCGTTATTATCATCTTCTCCCATAAACTCTTTTGAGATATTTTTTTATTTATTTTGAAAATACATTTTCTTAAGATCCAAATCTATCATAGAAGTCTAATGGGTAAAAAGGGATTGAACGATTGTGATGCTGGAATTCTTAAGATTACAAATCTTACCGTGCAACATTCAAAGGTTAATAGAAAACACTAAGATGTGTATTGATGTTTTTTTCGTGGGAGTTGTTGTCATGTGGAGTGGAAGTGCATGAAACTCAAAACAAGAAGAGAAGATACAAGAAGAGAATGAGATTCAATATAGTGTTGTGTATGATAAAATTTGTGAACTTATTTAATCTGATGGTTGTGAAATATGGTTCATATGGTTCATGGTGAGGAATTTAATTGAGCCCTCACTCTAGAAATCACCTATATAAAGTAAATTATAATTTTATATCAATTATTTTTAATTATATAGTAATTTATAATTAGAAAAAATCAAATAGTAATAATATATGTTTCTTTTCTAGAAATATTGAGTAAAATATTTAATATTCATATGCTTTCATGATTTTATTCAAGTACAAAAAATTAGACAGAACCTGTGTATCTCAACCTCAGTTGGATCACCATCTGTCTGACATGCAGCAGCGAGCGCCTCACCAAATCTACACGTGAGAAAGGAGAACCTCGTATAAGCCCCTCTGGTCTTATCCACCTCCTCAAGCGCATCCAGTGGATCAGCCCCAAACTCTTCGACCAACATCTCTCTCGCATCCTCCTTCGTCATCCTACCGTGACGGAGGAGGGTACCCCTTATCGGTATATGTAGCAGACAGGAGATGTCGTCCAGTGTGATCGTGAGATCGTCGTACGGTAGATAGAATTAGAATGTCTCAAGGTGTCATCTCTCCGCAAAGCCCATCAGCATTCTGTTGTAGATCAGGATGTAACCGTTCTCACAAAGGTCCTTTAAACCAAAGGCGGTAAGGACATCCTAGAACCAAACCTTCTATGGATGCTCCAAAGATGATATCTTTCCCCCGTGGTTATAGAACTTCTGCGGTTGACGAGTCTGAAAATTTCCATAAATAAGAAACAATGTTAATAAGAAACAATGGTACAAATTATAAATTTACAATGAAAAAAAGAAACAATCTGAGTAATGTTACCTCTCCATCCCAGACATGTCTGGCAGTATGGTCAGCGTACCCTGTCAACAGGGACATATCTGAGGGACCCCTTGGGAAATCCTCAGGCTCATCATCATCGTCGTCACCAGCATCCTCCAGTGGTGGGTTATCACCCTCTAGAGGTGGCACCGGATCATCGGCAGAAGGAGGAACAGGAGTATCTCGACGAGGTCTGTCGGAGGACGAGGCTTGTGATGAACCCACAGTTGAATCTCGATGCCTCCAGGACGAAGAAGTGGATGATGGGGTAGGATACAAGGTCGAGGGAATGTCCTGGGCATGTGATGTAGAAGATTGTGTCTCAGCTGTATCGACCTCGGTAACGGAGGTCTGGCTCTGCTCGCATCTCACAGATGCATGTTGTGAAAGTCGTCCAAGTCGCAATCTATCTTCTCTGTCTGCCATAATGTCTACAAGGTGTAACCAAGAAAAAACAATTAGATACAAATAAATTTAAAAAAAAAACATTTTTTTACTTCCGGATGTGAACATACAGAAAACTTCTGTATATGTATCTACGGAAGAACCCAGAATTCAGAAAGTTTGATTTGTTCTAGAGCTGCATCTACGAAATTACCCTAACGTTAATTTGTTCTGTAGATGTAGCTTCGGGACTTCCTATAACTCCAACAGTCACGACAATGGCGTCCCCTACCCATAAAAATCAATTTTTTGAAGCCCTAGTCGTCCGTTTTAGCCAACAAACAATACCTACATTGTCTCTAAACTATGTTTCTAAAACTATCTAAGGATTTCTAGCCCTAAAACTATATTCTAACTCGTTTACGGGAAATACTCGAAAATACCTCAGAAACTCGAAAACTTACCGATTATATCAAGCTTTGAATGAGTTGGAGTGTCTTGATCGTTGAAATGAATGCTCCTTATCGAAGTTGATTGGAAAAAAAATTAAGTTTGGTGGAAATAATTTTTTTTAGGATTGAGAGAGTTTGGAGTGTTTGAGAGTGAAGAAGATGAAATATGAAGAATGAGGGAGGAGAAGGGGATCTTGCGCGAATGTACTTCTATTTATTCCGGAGCTATATAAATGGAAACATTTCGTAGATGTAGCTCCGGAAAAAACCAATGTTGAGTAAAAAAAAGGTGCGCCCGAAAATACATCTCCAAAAACATGGGGTATTTTCTTAAAATGCACATGGTGCCTAAGAACCCCGGGTGAGGTAAGAAATTATCATGACTTTTACATCTAAAAACTAGACTGCTATAAGTTTTCTACTTCTACCTCATAAAATCTTTAGGCCCATCACCTACTAAAAGACTTTGATATTTAAGTAAATGAGCACTCACTTAACCAGATATGAAGTCATACATGGTCAATCATCACTAAGATATTATTTAAGAAAGGTTTTACTCCAAAACACGATTGTACAAATGAATAAGATGGAATAACGACTAACTGAGGTTATGGTCATCATTAAGGTCACAATAGAGATGAGTGTGAGAGCCCCTTCTTCTCTATATATACAACTTTAATTCAGAATTCTAGACATATACTACTTATTATGTACTTAAAAACTATAAGACTTTGATCATAACACATTAATATGATGGCTCATCATGTACTTAGCAAGAACATTTGTTGTCCACTGTGCCATCATGATAAAGACAATTTCCCGCCAATAATATAAACTTTAGATTAAAATGAGTCCAACACTTCACCAAAGAAAGTGAGTCTCTCCAAAAATTCACGACGCCATGAAAAAATTTTAAATTCTGTTATACCCTAAATTTTATTTATAAATTTTTCTTAGATTTTTTTTTTAGTCTCTTGTGTCGTCTCTCATTTTAAATTAATAAAATATTAGAATTGTGCCTAAAAGTTAGAGCTCAATTTCTATCTATTTCATTCCATAATCGTGCATCCATTATTCATTTATTTTAAGCATTCATTATCACGTACATACCATCAGAAGTTAAGAGGAACAAAAATGAAATCTTGCACTTATGACAAAATGCCAAAATTACCTTTTTTTAGTTCTCATGAATGTATCATTCATCATCTCATTCATACAAAATCAACACTAAATCAACTTTTGGCTTATATAAACTCCAAATACTCTAACCACATTTCATACATTACCACGTTCAAGTTTTATGTTTCACTACCATAGCATACAACATTCATTAATCATCTCTATGGCATGATTCAAATGAAATGAAAAAGACAAAATATAAAATTTGAATTCATTAATCATCATGTATCTCATGCATCATCAATTATCATTATGGCACAAAAGACAAATAACACAAGTGAATAAAATAGGAAATTTTATGAAACAAAATTTGATTTCTATTCACTTTATGAATTTTACAACCATGACCATGACATGCATTGCATGAATTACACAGCTTAAATTACCACGTGGTCTACGCTGAAAATTTATGATACCGGTATTTTTATTCTTTTTTTTCTTAAATATTATATTGATTCAAATGATATATTGATGTCTGAAGTGTTTTTATTTTTCGTTTTTTGAAAAAAGTATTTAAATATTTAATTTTATTTGATTTTAGTTTTTAAAATTAAAATTTATAAAAAATTTTGTAAATTTTCTATGAATTTTCCTTTAAATTTTATAACTTTAAGGACTAAAACAAAAGAAATTTAACGTTCATAAATTATTTCAAAAAATAAATACAGAGACAAAAATAAATAAATAACATTTCAATCTTCAGATCAGGTAACTATTTAAGTATTCTCTTTTTTATCAAATTGCTAGCACTTGATAGTAACTTATTTACAATTTCGTTATTTGCATGCAGTTCTTGCCACAGACAATCATCAGGGTAGTTGATGAAGACCATTGAAAATCTATCAGATTATCTCATAATGGACTCTCTTTATCACATTTATTTTTTGTTGATGACGTTCTTCTTTTTGTGAAGGCTTCTAACTTTCAAACAGGGATCATTTATGATACCTTGAACGGTTTTGCCATGTTTTTAGGCCTTAAATAGAATGTTGCTGAATAAAAGAAGTTATTCTCCTCTTCCACTAAGTGGGAGTAAAACAAATTTAATTGTCTCCATCAAAAATATCAAGTGAACTCTTACTCAAGAGAAGTACTTGGATTTTCCTATGTTGCATGGTCGTCTTCAACACAAGGTTGAGTTCCTAGAGGAGAAAATCAGTCGAAGGTTAGGATCTTGACAACATATTTTATTAAACAAGGTTCATCGTTTGACTCTAATAAGGCATATCTTGAACGCCATCCCTAATTATTATATAGAACATCAAGATTATTTCAATGCCACGAGGAGAAAAGAGAAAAGTATTTGTAGAACATCAAGAATTAATTAAAAAGGATGTGGATCAAACATTTGGAGTGCTTCAATCTCGATTTGCAATTACATGTGGCTCAGCGCGTGGCTAGCACATAGAAACCCTCAAGCATATCATATATGCTTGCATCATAATACACAACATGGTTGTTAAATATGAACGCCACACAATAAAGGTGATTTCTATTAATCTAATGATAATGTAGATAAAAACAACTCAATAACTTTACTTAGTTGTGCTTGAATCTCATTAACCGAATGATTTAGGTTTTAGACATTTGATTATGCTCGTGCTTGTTTTTCAAGAATCGTGATGTGAGAATGCTTTTGGATTTGCGTTTAGTATGTTGAATAGGCTAGTTTGTATGCAGAAAACATGAGTTCATTTTCGTTTTGTTTGACTCTGGAAAGATGATGATGTTGTTGTTGTATGTTTGTTAGAGAACGAGAGAAAAGAGGAGTGAGAAAAGGGTAATGAGTAAGGTGAACCATTCAATCTTGAGTACGCATGTCGATTGGTAAAAGATGAACCTAAATAGATGGGAGCATCGACTAAAAATTATTTAAAAAGAACAAAGAACTCTATTAGTGAGGCACATTCGTCATCATCTAATCCGGAGACACCTTCAAGTTATGAGTATAACTCATCATGACCGATAGAGCGCTTGATGAGACAACAGACACCAAAAAGAAAGGGTAAGGCAAAGAAAAATGCTAGTCCAAATGCAATTGAACCGCCTTCTACTGTTGGGAATGATACAATGAGTAAAAGAACATCAACAAATGGAAAGACTACCACAAATTAAGGAGGAAGGAAACATATTAAACAAGGGAAATAAGGAGTTTTAAGCAATGTAATTCATCATGTCAGACACTTCTAGGATGAATTATAGTCAACGTGAAATTCATGAAAAAAATTGTAATCAGCTGAAAGAAAAATATGGATTTTAGTTAAGGTGAAATGTTCTAGAATTATCAAATTTAAATATTATGTAGTAGTACTTGTTATGTATCAACACCTATGTAAAATGGCCATTAGTACCACTTTAGTTCATAATAAATAGTCGTTATTCAAACTAGTCGTTATTAAAACTACATGTTGTTATATAACATTATATATACTATCATTCTTCTTCTATTCATCTCTCACGTTTTCTCTCACTCTCATCTCACTCTTCTCTCATTGTGTTCGCTGTGTTTTCTGGCGAACAACCTCTGGTTAACCAATTTCTTCAGAAAATTGGGTTACTTGCAGGACCAACCATACAAGTCCTAGGATACATGTGCATTTGGTTCTGTCGAAATACTCTTAGACTTTTGGTGACTAATTTGTGGTTTGTTTTATCAATGTTGTCAAAGTATTAAGGACTTTGATTTTGCAAGTAACGAAAGTTTTAACTTAAAGGTGAAATAAGGTTAAAAGTTTAAACAAGAACAAAGAAATGTCGAAAGGCTAAAACTTGCAGAAAAGTAAATGAAATGTAAAATGACTTTGAAAATAAACAAGTAATGAACTTGAAGAATAAACAAGTAATGAACTTGAAGAATAAACAAGTAATTTTAAAATGACTTTGAAATATAACTGGTGTTTAAAACGTACATTGTTCCAAATACTAGACTCATTTTCTCTCACACTGGGTACTTAGAGTTTTTACAGGAATTTTGTACAAATTTTCACACACACATTCTAACCACAAACTATCCTATTTATACACAAACAGAATAACTGCTTAGAACGGAAAAACTATAACTAAACGACAAGTGTCAGCCTGCATGTAAATTTCTTCTCTGAAACCTCCATGTGTCCAACTGCCAAAGGTTACAACCTTTCGAAATTTGAATCTCTTCCTTGGTGACGAAACCTTGTAACTCTTCAAAACTGTCGAAACCCTTTTAAAAAAAAACTCTTCAGCACTTGCCAACCTTATCTTTTATTAACAAACTTCTTCTGTCGAAGCCCTTAGTCACAAACTCTCCAAACTATTCTGCCAGAACATTATATCTATTTCTGGTCGAAACAATGAAACTTTAAAACCTTGTCAGCAATTCTTGGATTCTTCTCCTGATGCTATCCTTCGACAAAGATGACCTTAAAGCCTGAA